GTTAAATTTGAACTAACCGAAACCTTGATACGCTTTTCCTCCTCTGTAGTATAATCTACTGTTGACGAGGGCCAGTGAGTTCGATCTTGACGGAGCCAAGATGGACCATGGAACCATAAGTCATGTTCGACAAACGCACCAGGCAGCATGCCACGAGATGCAGCATCTGCAGGGTTGTCTGCCGACGGAACATGATGCCAACGTTCAGCAGGAACGCGTGAAAGTATATCGCTAGTCCGATTCGAAACAAACGTTTTCCATTCGTGTGGTGGTGATCGCAGCCACGCTAACACGATGGCCGCATCGGACCAAGCATAAACTTGATCAATAATAACGTAATCCGAGAATATATCTAATGTTTGTTGTAAAAGCTTGGACAATAATAGGGCTGCCATCAGCTCGAGGCGCGGGATCGTTAAAAGTATACGAAGTGGAGATACGCGAGTTTTCGCCATAATAAGTGAAGTGCGAATGTGCCCGTCCTTACCCGTAAGGCGTACATAGACACAGGCTGCATAAGCCTTCTCCGAAGCGTCAGCAAATCCGTGAATTTGAATTGATTTATGTTCCGGAAATATGTGACGGGGAAATGATACTTTGGAAATAAACGGTAGTTGATTAATAAATGCATGCCATGAATTTACAATGTCTATGGGTGGCGCTTCATCCCAATCTATGTTAGCTATCCACAAAAGTTGGATCAAATGTTTGGCATACAATGTGACTGGGGATAAAAGACCTAAAGGGTCGTATATTTTTGCTATCTCGGAAAGAATAACTCGCTTCGTACATAAATTGGATGTTATTACTTGTACATTGAAGTTAAAAGAATCCGATCCAGGGTTCCACTGGAGACCGAGTACCTTCACCTGCTTATCCTTCTCCATTTCGGCAAAAGCGATTACATCGGGCCGCTCACCATGAGATTCTGTCGGTAAAACAGTTGAGAGTAGCGCTGGAGAATTGCTATGCCACTTGCGTAATTCGAAACCAGCCGTCTTACAAATATCAATAAGCTCCTGCTGCAGCGCTAAAGCATTAGGGATCGTAGACGCTCCCGATGTGACGTCGTCAACGAAAACATCGTTTAACAAAACAGGAGAAGCAAGTTTGAAACGCTCGGCCTCATCACAAGCCAATTGTTGGACAGTTCTCAAAGCGAGATATGGGGAACAATTCACACCGAAGGTGACCGTGCGAAGACGATAGTCACGAACGGGTTCTTCGGGTGACTGTCGCCATAAAATACGTTGAAAATCCCTGTCTTCCTCTCGGACCAGGATGTTTCTGAACATTTGTTTAATATCAGCAGTGAATGCTATTGCGTGAACTCGGAATTTTAAAATAACATTACCTATGTCCAAGTGAAGCTTGGGACCAGTCAGTAAAGTGTCATTGAGTGAGTAGCCACTAGTAGTCTTACACCCGGCGTCGAAAACTGCGCGAGTGCGAGTCGTCACGCTAGACTCCTTGACTACGCAGTGGTGTGGAATATAATAATGTTTCCCTAGAAGCGCCTCGCCCTCAACGGGTTCCAAATGATTCATGTCAATGTATTCCTGAAGACACGCGTGATAGTCAGCTTTGAGCTTCGGACTACGTTCGAGTCTATATTCGAGTTTACGAAACCGCGCTAATGCAATTTGTCGAGATTCTCCAAGAGAGGGAGCCTCCAATTTAAAGGGCAGGGCAACCACATATCGCCCAGTCTCATCGCGAGTATGCGTCTTTTGAAAAAAGGATTCGCATAATTCCTCATCAGGAGTGTATCTCCGTTTTTCAGGAAGGGACTCTAACTCCCAAAATCTCTGAAGGTTGTAATTGTCGAATGAACTAAAACATACTTTAATATTCGACGGAGAGTGTTCAACATCGAGCTTACCTAACAATAAATAACCGAAAATGCTATTTACCGCCATCGGAGTTCCAGGCGCGCCCGTAATAACGTCGCCTAAAAGAACACAGGGTAGCATATCCGCACCTAATAACATTTCAACTGGCTGCGGGGTATGGAAAGTAGGATCCGCTAAGTTAAGTGTTTGTATATGAGACCAGCCTTTATACGGTAACTGTACACTTGGCATTTGTGAAATTAATTTATCTAAAATTAAAACATTAATTGGTAATAAGGGTTGTTGTTTACCCTTAGGCGCAATATTACAAGAAACAAAACCCCTACAACGCGTCGCCTCAGTATCGCCGATTCCGAAAACTGCAATGTCTTGTTTACGTTTTATCATTCCCAACCGCTGCGCGCAACTATCAGTCATAAAACTAGCTTGACTGCCAGTATCTATAATACAGCGAACGGTTGAAAGTTTCGCCTCACCAACGTATACATCGATTAGCGCCGTAGACAATAGCACCGTAGTCGTACGAACTAACGGCGCATTGGAAGCGCAACAATTGTGAACAGCGTTATCAACGTTGGAAGCTAAAGGCGATGAGTCATGAGAGGCAGCGATGACCGGTGTGTCACACTGCACCGTAGGTGGAAGCGAGACAACATTATTTGCAGTTATTTTACTAATGAACGGCGACTGATTTAACTGGTTAGAAAAATGAATAAGACTATGATGTCGTTTGTGACACGTACGACAAACAAAACTTGAATTGCACTGATTAACATCATGTCCAAAATGCAAACAATTATAACAAATATTTTTATTTCGTACTAAAGCAAATCTATCTTGTGGGGATAAGTTTAAAAACTGCGTACATTTTGTCAACGTATGTTGAGCATTACAACATAAACAACTCTTAAAACCCTGTTCATTAGATCGATTATTGATTGACGGATTCGAAACTGATTTGATGTTAGCAGCTAACGAACGGAATGAACGATGCGTCGGTGACGGTTTGTCGTTAGGATTCGAACGGCTGCGCGGATTGGCAAAATTATTCGACTGCCCACAAGTGGAATTAATAATTTCGTCCGCCGATATTTCTCGCTGTAGGAAAGAAATCAATGTGTTAACATTAGGAATGTCGGATGAATTCGTTAATGAACGTTCATAGTTTTTTCGAATGTGCATAGGTATTTTACGTAATAAAATACTAAGTAACAAAAAACTCCAATCTTTCACGGGAAAGTGCATAATTTCCAATGCCTTGATATTTTCTTGGTAAACGTTTAATAAATTACGTATACTATTTGTTGATTTATCAGTGCACGTTTCAATATCGAGAATTTTGTCGAGATGCTTAGTGGCAATAACCCTTCTATTCTCATACCGCGATATCAATATTTCCAAGGCTACTGAATAGTTCTCGTCCGTGATAGGAATCGACTTTATTAAATTGTGCGGTTCCTTATGTACCGTGAGTAACAAATATCTAAATTTTTCCGCATCTGTATAGGCATTGTTCAGGTGGACTAAAGAACGAAATAAATCAAAATATGATGGCCAATCGGTAGGGTCACCATAGAAATTAGGCAAAGGCAAGGTAGGTAAATTTTTGCTATGAACTTGTGGTTGAATTAACGGTGATAATAACGGACGACTCATGCGTCGCTGCTCCTCATCCATCATCTTTAAATTATTTAAATGCGTAATAATGGCGTAGTAAAGATCGTTAAAATCGTTACGAATCTTAATCTGTTCCTCCTTGTTAAATGTTTTTAATTTCATGTAGGTTTTTTCAATTTTGGACTGTATTTTATTAAATTTACGTTGATGAGAATTTAAATCTGTAGTTCGCGAGCGAAATTGTTGAACATCTGTCGCTGCGAACTGGAGAGTGCGTTTTAAATCATCAAGGATGAGTTCCCTTTCGAACAAATCTTGTTCACACGGCGATTCTTCGACAGACATTTTGCGTAACAAAGATGGCTGATTCGAATTTGTCGTATTTGAAAATAAGTTGTAGAAAGTACGTAATACTGTAAAACAACACAATTGGAAGATATCAATCCGGTTCGAACGGATCAAAGAAATTTATGTATGATAAAAGCCGGGGTTCGGCGACTTACCGCAAACGCTCCTTACACCGCCACGGGTACCTAGGGCTAGGCTTCAGAACGGGGTTCGTCAACGCTCTTGGGAAACTATTGCCGGCAATGTATCGCACATAGGAGTCCACAGGTCAGAAGGTTCACGATATCTTCCAGAGAAAATGGGTACTCTCACTTGATGTAACGGAAATTCGTTTAGAGCTGTTGATAGCTGCTTACACGTCGGGGACTCGAAGTGAACTACTCGCACATTGGTGCCGGCGTCGGCCGTAAAGTCGTACCAACACACAAGGCACAGTGGTAGGCTCAGAACGAAAATACGGTTTGTCACCTACCCCATACATAAATAAAAAAAAGAAAAAAATACAATCTTCCAATATGTGTTGCTTTATTAAAAAATCTGTTACGCTACGGAACACAAGGTTATCCTCCAATGGATCAAGGGACATAGCGGTTCTGTGGGTAATGACGCAGCCGACGAACTAGCTAGAAGGGGATCATCACAGAAAGTGGAAGGCCCTGAGCCACTTCTGCCATTACCCTTCAATCAGTTTCGTACATGGATGCGGCAACGAACCACACAGAACCATAACACCCGTTGGGCGAATACCGAGGGCTGCAGGCAATCTAAGGATATTCTTCCCAACCTCAACCCCAGACTAACTAGGAAACTACTAAATCTTAACCGAAATGATCTCCGAGTAATGCTAGGCACCATAACAGGGCACTGCCCACTTAACAAGCATTTACTAACCATACGCGTTACAGATAGCTCTCTATGCAGAGGATGTCTGGAAGCAGATGAAACGGCCGCTCATGTGATCCTGGAATGCACGAGCGTTGCAGAACACCGGGCATCAATCCTCAGGAAGCCGAGGACGCTCCTAGAAGCCTGTGAGAGCCCCAGGAGGCTACTGCGCTTCTGGAAGGAGCTGGGCTGGCTGAGCTAGCTAGCCCAACACACCCTGCACGCACAATGGACCAAGTACGGAGTCTACGTGCGGAAACGGGGGCAAACAACAAGTAACAAGTAACAAGTAACAAGTATTATTATTATTCAACAATGACTTCGATTATAATAAATACGGAGTACATCTGTATATCATTTCACTTATCATTATTGATTCGTACCGTAACGTTCTCTTTGCTCTAATTTTAAGTTGCTTAGAATGGAAGGGCTTGTGTGTAATCTCGACGTATATATATATATGAGGCAAAAATCTTTTAGTGCCGACATGTTATTTCAAAAAGTACTCGATTCAGTGAGATTTTCATTATCTGAAGAACAAAAGACAACTCTTAAAACGTTTTGTGCTACATATACGAGTAATCTTAAACGCAAATGGAAGTCAGCTAATTACACACAAGGGAATTTTATAAAGAAGTTTGCTGACTGGTTGGACCAAGAAATAAAATGGCCAGAGTTTGTTTCACTAGACATAACTGAAGAACAATCAAATATTATGACGAGTTTTGAAGATCCTTCAACAAGTATTTCAACAGTAACAAGACCTAGTTTATCAACGGAATGCACTGTTCCTCATAGTGTGGCTGTGTCGACATCAACCGCTACATTTAGTCCTCGAAAAGAATTTGCCAATTTGAGTCCACTGCAAAAAAGAAGAAGAACTGAAAATCTCATTGCCGAAAACGATTTTGAGACACTTGCTTATGCCCTGGCCAGGAAAGCGGAAAATGAAAACCAAACGGACTTTGTAGAATTAGTGAAGCATTTGATTAAAAAGCCTGAAGATACGCCAATGCTGCGAGCCTGCCTGAAATCGACGAAACGAACTTGTCATACCGATAAGGCACTCGGTATTTCAACATCACTGAAATTATCGAAATGGCAGTATATTGCATTGAGGCAGACAATGAGAGACATGGGGTGTGATATACTTCCATCGTATGATGCTTTGAAGCAAGAGAAGAAGGAGTGCTACGTTGAAAAAGAAGACATGGTAATAACTGAGACTGAAGTTAAACTTAAGCTTCAGTCTATTTTAGATATTACGGTCAAGAGACTATTAAAAACGCTGGAAACTGATTTAACTGGCAGTAATTCGACTCTTATCAGTAAATGGCGGTTTGACGGTGCATCTGGGCAAAGCAACTACCAACAAAAAATTGACGGCGATGATTCAAGCATCTTCATGTGTTCATTTGTGCTGTTAAAACTGGTGAGAGATGGTACTGATGAAATAATATGGGAAAACCCCAAAGCGTCTTCAACGTTTTACTGTCGACCCATTTATTTTAAGTTTGCTAAAGAGAACGATTTGAATGTTAAAGAAGAAATGATTTCAATTGATACGGAAATTGCTGCTCTACATCCAACTGTTATCGATGGTGCAAATGTAAAACACGTTCTGCATATGACGATGATTGATGGTAAAATAACTTCACATTTATCAGATACATCCACAGCTACATGCGATATATGCAAAGCAAAACCAAAAGAAATGAATGATATCGACAAGGTTACTCAAAGAACCCAGTCTGTAGACATGTTTAAGTTCGGTCTGTCTTCCCTCCATGCACGAATTAGATGCATGGAATGTATCTTACATATTGCTTCCCGTCTCGACTTCAAGAAATGGCAAGCTAAGGGCGAAGATTTGAAGCAACAGTTAAGCCAAAGAAAAAAGGCTATTCAAGAACAATTCCGGACTGAAACGGGGCTACTTGTGGACGTTGTTAAACAAGGGGCTGGTACAAGCAACGATGGAAACACAGCAAGAAGATTTTTTGTTAATCCTCAAATTACTGCTCAAATAACGGGTGTTGATGAAGAACTCGTTAGAAGATTTGGAGTGATTCTTCAGGCTATCTCATGTGGAGAGTTTGTGGACGTGGAAAACAGATTTAGACTGCTCGCTCTCGGACCTCCCGCCTTTTGATACCCTACCGCCGCGGCGGCGTCGCGCTACGCGCTCTTGCATTGCGCAGTCGGGTAAAAAATGTATTTTAAATATCCTACCAACTTGAAATCAACATCAACATGTAAATACATTTCCAACTTATTTTGAATTACATGAAAAGTGAATATGACTAATAACTGCTTCAATAGGTTGTTGTTGGTGTAGGTTTCCCAAATACCTAAACCATAATTGTACGCGACGACCGAAGCGAGTAGAAATAAACTTACGTCGATATGAGATTGATTTATAAAATGTATCTATAATTTCACATGTATCGGTTGTATACACATTAAAAATGATTATTCCCTTGTTGTCTTATTAGAATGAGTCGGATATCGCAATAATAGATAGCTTTGTCCATAGTAAACGATTGTAAAATTGATAGTTCAGAGCGATATTCCGTCCCTTTCTCTCCAACAATCTTATAAGAATTTGTCTAAACGATCGCCACGACGCCAAGCGGTGGCGCGGGGAAACTAGCTAGAATATTGATAGTTCCGACCTATAGGAGGGACAGAGACGATAGGCTGTCCTTTTCTAACATCTTATAAGATTTTACCTGAATTGTAAGCATTCGTGAATAGTATGTTTTTATGTTTCGATTTATTTGTTTTATAACTTATTAGGAAATAGGTAGTTGTAAGAGTAATATATCAAAGTTTTGTGTAAATCGTATTAATAGTTTAGGCATAATTGAGGAAAATGTTGAATATAGTTTTTTACGAATAGTTGATAGGATATAGGTATAATTGTAGTGATAATGATGTTATTTTGTGTGTTTTTACTTCCTCTATAAAATGATATATGATAATTAGGGTTTAAGTGAATGTAAGTAGGTTTTTTAAGACTTTTAAATTTGTAATCTTTATAGGGCCGTAGAGCTGTTATTTGTTATTATTCTTATTAGAAACTTATTATATTAGGTAGATAACGCATAGGACTACATAAATAAATAGGCATCACATCAATAAATGTAGAAATGTACCGTGTAGGAGACAAAATCTGTTTGTATAGAACGGTTTCCTAAGACATGTTGCGCTCCCCACCCGGCGCGCTCGGAGCGCGTGGGTGGGGCAGCGGAGCCCTGTGGCAGGGCGAAGCCCTATGGAGGGGGAAAGTATAAATATCGCGGAGACCAATTTTTTGCGCGCCACACCTAAAATATCATGCTTGCGGTCACGTAACTGTGTTAAAAATATGCCTATTTGTATGCCCAATGTATGTACATATAGTTTTAAGCTCGCGCTTATGTAATTTTTGAAAGAATGAAAAATAAAGTATAGCGGGGGTGAGGTAATGGATCGCTGGCCAGCTCAGCCCTAGCATATAAAATTCGAGTCGGAACATGCTCCGACATGCATTCAGCGACAGGCGCTCCTACCCTAAGGAACAGGAAGAAACACCAAGCGGTTCACTCTGGACCATCAGCCTCCTCTCACCGGCCATCCATTATCAGCGCCCACCGATTTCTTCAATACCGAACACCAGGGGTTTTATTCACCGAAACTACAGTCCACTACAGTCAAGACTCCTGCGTGTAACTTCCTCCACCCCGCAGTACGAGTCGGTAACTGTCCGCTACTGCGACAGCCCGGCGTCCCGTACACATATTATTGTTATTATTTTTAAGAAATTATTTGTGAAATTGTTTGTTGATCCAAATAAAAAAAAACATAAGCCCTACATAACTTAGTCACTAAGAAAGTACTAAGCAGCTCAAGGCTAACGATGAACTAAGCTGCATGATTTTGATGAATTGCAAGGTCCAGATAAATCGATAAATTTACGTTTTAACACCAATAGCAAGCAGGCAATTTAATGAAAATCAAAATCAAACGATAAAAAGAACACAGATTAGATAGGTATTCGGGCAAAGATAAACATTCATGGGTGCATTTATATTTAAATAAGTCTTTGTTTTATGTGTTGTGTCGTGAATAACACTAGTGTAGTTAGTGTTGTTCAAAGTTGCGCAATATGTGGAATCGTTTGTGGCTAATTGCCGCTTGCGCAACTACAATCCTAGGTAAGGATTCCCCATTATACATATGTGCCTAATGCCACAATTACATTAAAATATACATCGATGTATCATTATAATGTATTTCTATCCTTTACTGCCAGTGTACAATAACACAAGCCTAAACAGTGCTTACTTTGGGGCTAGGCTAATTAGTGTGAGCTATCGTGCGGGGTAAGGCAGGGGGGATTAACTTCTCCTGACCTGTTCAATATTTACATTAATGATTTGATCGTGGAGCAGAGCAGTACCCCGGTCGGGCTCTGGTTAGGTGACAGGTACGTCAATAACCTGAGTTATGCAGATGACATGGTGCTGCTGAGCCCCTCGATTAAGGGTTTGAGGCGTCTTATCAAAATTAGTGAAAAATATGCTGAAGAACATAACTTAATCTATAATGTGGGGAAAACAGAGATGGTGATTTTCAGATCTGGGAAGGAACTTGAAAACATACCCTGTGTACTCCTTAATGGGCAACCTATAAAAACTTCAACGAAGTTCAAGTATTTTGGTCATATCGTAACATCGAACCTCAAAGATGATGAGGACATAGAACGACAAAGAAGAGCATTGTGTGTGGTTGGCAATATGATAATACGCAGGTTTAATAAAGCTTCCCGTAACGTCAAAATAACACTTTTTTGATCCTTCTGTCAGATTTTCTACACTTGTCAACTGTGGACCAACTATACAAAAAAGGCGTATGATGGAATACGGGTGGCCAACAACAATATATTTAGACAACTTATGGGGTCGGAGCGTTGTTGTAGCGCTCCAAAAATGTACTTTGAGGCTAGAATAAACTTGTTTAAGGCCATTCAATGAAACTGCATCGCCAAATTTATGTCCAGGGTTGAGGAGTGTAGGAACTGTATTATAACAGGTCTGGCGGAGAGAATTTTCAATACGAATATGTATAAACGATGGGTGCAATTAGCACCCTGAATCATGATACGATCTAATGTAATTTGTTTTTGTATTTGTGAATGTGGTAATTTAACTTCTGTGTATATATAATATTAATATAATTATAAATTGGAATTGATGAAATAATTTGTAAATTGTAGGAATGTATCTTGTGTCTGAAATAAAAGTACATTATTATTATTATAGAATAATAAGCAGTTATACTATGCCTCTATGTCTTGCTTTTTTAGTAAATGCTTATTAAATCTCTACACTAGGCGTCTTTAGTGGTGATAAAAATTTGTTTATTGTTGGCACTTTTGGGGGCTTCTAGTTTTTTTGAAACACAAGTTATCGAGAAAAGGAAGACATAGGAATAAAGAATGAGTAAAATTATGTTTTATGAATGAAAATATTTTTTTCCATTCTTTCAGGAATCAGTTCGTTTGTATTGAAAAAACATTGCCCGTCTCCCCTCTTAAATCTGTTTTCTTTTACAACACAGGTGTCTCTTCAACCTCTGTACCGACAGTTACATTGAGTATTGGTGATGAACTGACCACCACAATACAGACTTTTCCACACGAAAACTTCACTTGTAATTTGGAAACTCCAAGGAACGAAATAATCCAATTCCGGCCTCAGAACAAGGGAGATCCTGAAAAATATGGTTTGCGGAAATCGACTCCTTTTTCTGGTTGTTCGGTCAATATTATGATAACTGGTGTCGAAGACGATGGGACATGGCGATTGTTCTTTGAACTTTATAACGGTTCAGCCTTCAGTCAATTTTACAATGTTAAAGTCGACGGATTGCCTAACATCGGTAAGTTTGAGAAATGTATTACAACCACCTAGGCCGCGATTAAGGCACTTTGCCTTAGGCGTAGCTGGGGCCCCAACAACAGAGATAAAAAAAATGTTGTTGAATCACCAACAAGAGGGGGGGGGGGGGGCAAATCGTAAATGGGCCCGGTTTAGATTTTGGGGCACTCTTTCGTTGCCCCAGGCCCCCCACCTCTAAATCCGGCCCTGACAACCGCGAACTACGTATTAGCCCGAATGGTAAAGGTATACATAGAAAAAATATAATATGTAGAATTATAAAAATTAAGCAATTTCTTTTTTATTAATCATCATACTACTGAACACAAGCTTTTCTTATAGACGAACAAAACGAAAGACACACATGACGGGGTTGGCTGGTGCTAACAACTGCAGATCCAGGCAGGGCCAACTACTTAACGTGCCTTCCAAAGCATGGAGGAGCTCAAAATAAAAACATTTTTAATCACCAATCTAATGATTGGCCTTTGCGAAAGTTACTGAACTTCCACGATCACATAACCTTTGCTCCAAATGCTAAAAAAGGAGATCAAAGATTACCCTGCAAAAGGCTTTCGCAACCTAATCTAAGCAAAAAATATTTTTTTTAAGCAATTGCTGCTAAAGACAATTTTACTTTTTTAATTTTAATTTAAGTGCCTGGTCGTGTGGATTTTTTAGTAAATTAGTCTTTTCTAGTAAAATTTTCTTTAGAGTAAATATTATATTGTTTAAAAATACTTCTTAGTTGTAATCTTCAATTTACACTTTAAACAAGTTTAAGTATCTCGTAACCTAGTGGTGCTGGTGATAGTTTTACACCACTATAATGCATAAAGCCCAGGAATCTAAGAAGAAATGCTTGAATTTACAAAAGTATTCACGACAACCCAAACTAAGAAAGTGTTCATTTATTCTGCTAAATATATATTTATAAGAAATTAATTTGATTTATAGATCAAACGACGACAACCGAAAATCCAGAATCCTATGAACCGAAGAGAGAAATAGAACAATTGGATTCGCAATTTTTCAATACACATATTGGAGCTGAACATATCGTTACTATAAGAAAATATGATTTTGTTAACACTGAAAGTTGCTATTTAATGTCCAATGATGGTAATGTGTACGATGAAAGAGATCAAATAGCTGGAGTTAGTTGGATTACCGATATAAATGTAGCGTGCGGTGTAAAAATAAATGTGGATGGAGAATATTTAATCGGAAATTGGACATTGCTTTTAAGAGCAATCAGACTTTCAACCTGGATTGAGAAAAGGCAACCATTCACTATATACATCGAAGGTAACGTGCTAATAAAAACTGTCTTACGTCATCTATGCATATCGAGTCACGTCTAATTGATAAGATTAAGACAAAATTGATAATCTACTTAAACATGTTTACTTTTAATTAATTGCTTCAGTTAGTTATCTTTAATTTCCAGAAAGTATCAAAGCTTGGCCTGAAAGAATTATAGTTGCTACTGGTAAAAATATTCATGTACGTCTAGCTGAGCCAGCACCTAATGGCCTTCAAGATACTTGTAATCTTGTGCATGAAAATGAAGACATTAATTTACCTTACGAGAAGGATGAGAATAACAAAGAAACATGTGGATTCATAATCAGAAATGTTAGAGTTGAACACCAAGGAGATTGGCATATTGTATTGGGGAAGACAATAATTTATAAGGCTTCTATTGAAGTCATTGTTAACGGTAAAATGTACCAATTAGTCCAGTAAAACACTTCCTATAAGTACTTCATATTATATTGCAGTTAATATTTAACTGTTGCGGGATATGGTGTTGCATCGCCCTGTTTGATACATACACATACATACATACATTACATTTGAGGTCTGGTTGGGGAAATGACATTTAAACTGAAATATCCATTTAATCCAAACTTCCAGTGCACGACACGAAACTAATTTTGTTGAAATTTGGTAAAAAAATAGACTACGCTTTGGGAAGGACATGATTTATTGAGTGAAATACGTTAGCCCCGAATTTACCGCGAGCGAAGTCGAGGGCAAAGTTAGAACATCCTTAAAAAAATATTTAAGTGAAAAACCGCATGAAAATCCAATTCTGGGGTACTTTGTCTTAAGATATTCATTATAATGAAGTAAGTTTGAACGAGGTGAGAAGAAAGAGTTTCTTGTTGTCATTTCAGGAGATCATGGATCCAGTCAATCGTATATGACATGGGAGATGGACAGCCAGGTGGACATGTTAGTTGGCCCTGAGAATGCCGTGTACTGCAGTATTGTTGACCCAGCAGGCCGAACGATTTTCCAGGACTTCAGTCGTTGCCGCATTACCATCGAGCGGGTCACGCAAAATCAGAAAGGGACCTGGGTTCTGATCGTAGGTGCCCCAGGCAGGATTTCCACAGATGAACATAGGATCCATGTTATGATAGAAAAAAATAGAGAAGGTAGGTTTTTTTAATTAAAGATTGGAGCAAGCGGACTCTTCCTCTCCTGATTAGACATTCTGTTCTGGTTCACTACTACATAAACATGTTTCCAGTTGTGATGCCGACGGTGATTACGAAAGTAGAGCAGCAGCTACCAGAACTTTTCCTGTCTTGCTCCATTCCTGAAGACTATCAGGTTCGAACCTGTAAGTTCAGGGATCCGGATGACAAAGTTCTTCTGGCTGCTAATGGTGTGAGCGATGAGGATTATATGAACGGATTCAGAATTAGGTAAGTTATTCATTAAACGACTTCAAAAAGGAGGTGCTGGAATTCTTCAGTCCCAGTGTAAAATATATGTATTCACGTTACGGATTTTTCATCAGTATCTACTCTCGATGTCTGATATCTTAAAGGTTTTTTTTTAATATTTCGCTCTGCACGCTTTCAATAAATGCAGTATTTTCATCCTACATTTCGTTCCTCTCGCAGCGACCTACATTTCGTTGGGGAAGCTTGCTTATTTGTTTGATGAATCCTACATACTACTATCTATTTTGTGTCCATACCAACTAGACTTCCCTTTGATTGCGTTGGTTTTAGAACTGCTCCAAGGCATAATCGTTTCAGCATGAAAGCTACCTAGAGTTACAAATGTCTTCAAAATTGAAGAAATAATGAATGAATGAATATTCTTTGTTACACTATTTAAGAAAATATATAAAACCATATATTGTTTTAAACTTTTATGGTCACTAACATTATAGCTATTAACGGAATTGTTACCATGTACCTTGTTTTTTATGAGTCGGTAGTACTGACCCTGGTATTCTTTATATACCAGGGTCAGTACTACCTCCAAATAGATGGGGTGGCAATGGGCAGTCCGGTAGCTCCAGTAGTTGCCAATATATGGATGGAGTATTTTGAGGAAAAAGCTTTCACCACCGCCCCCACAGAATTTGCACTATGGAAGAGGTATGTTGATGACGTATTTTGTATTTTAAAAGGAAACAAAGAAGATGTCGAGGCTCATTTGGCAAATTTAAATGGAGTCCATACCAAAATGCGGTTCACATATGAGATGGAAGAAGACCGAAGTCTGGCCTTTCTTGATGTGAAGATTCGGGTGCGGAATGACGGTTCGCTGAGTCATTCCATTCACCGCAAACCCACACATACAGACCGTTATCTCAACGCCTCCTCGCATCACCACCCTAAACATCTAAATTCTGTAGTCACTTCACTAACGAACCGTGCATAAGACTTGTGTGACAAGGAACACCTGCACGAAGAGTGTACGGCGGGTCTTACAGAATAATCGATACACGGGAAAGTTTCCATCCAAACACAAACTAAAACACCAGAAACACAAAGTAGACAGGCAACCACTATTTTTGTCATACATCAAAGGAGTGACAGACAAGATCTCGAACATACTTAATAAGTACTCACTGAATACTGTCTTCACTCCTTTACAAAAAGTGTCACAGATTCTACGGTCTCCCAAAGACAACTTCCCCTTGGAGAAACCTGGTGTATACAAGATTGACTGCAGCTGTGGTAGTTCGTATATTGGCCAAACGAAGCGAACAATAGCGTGCCGAATGAAAGAACACATAAAAGCAGTCAGAAATAATGATACGCAAAAATCAGCCATCGCGGAACATTTAATTGATTCGGGTCGTAATCACTGGATTGAGCTCCATAATCCACAAATTATTTCGACAGAACGCCACTACATACCAAGATTGGTCAGGGAAGCGATTGAAATAACCAAATCCAAGAATTTCAATCGTGAGGATGGGTTTAAATTGTCAAATGTATGGAATCCAGTGGTTCGTATGTGTAAAAACCGCAAAAATCAAAAAAGTGTCGTTCCGCGATCTGATACTGTGAGTATTGTGTGTCGGGAACAAGTGCGAGTGAATAGTGAGAATGTGACCAGTGGTACGGGTATCGAGCGCAGTAAAAGACGACGTCAGAGGGTAGACCGATATGTCTGTCCATAACATCTACCCGCAATTACTTCAGTTACTCCGTGATCATGGCGCTTGCAACAGTGGCGAAATATCGGAGACTCATAAAAAACAAGGTACATGGTAACAATCCCGTTAATAGCTATAAAATATATAAAACATAAAACATAAGGAACACAAACACAAAAGGCGGCCTTATTGCTAAGGTAGCAATCTCTACCAGGCAACCTTTGGCTAAATGAAACCATACCATGAAAATAGAAGAAACTGCGGGCTAGTGCATTCTAAAAATAAATAAATAGACGTAAATATAAGAATTTAAAAATAGTAAGTATATAAGGAAGCTATAAAATATAATACAAAGTAACTAACAGATAAATAGAAAAACATCAGGCAGAGTCCAGCTTGAGGAAATATTCCTTAATTTTAATGGTAAAGGAGTCCCTCATCTGTGCACGTTTGATATCCAGAGGTAAAGAGTTCCACAATTTAACAGCTCTTACATAGAATGACTTGGCTATGAAATCAGTGGAGTGAGGTGGGACAACTAAGGATAGGTTATGAGAAGACCGAAGATCGAAAAAAGGAAATGTCTATAAAATGTTAACATAATTTTAGTAATATTTCATAATAATTGTTTCTTTCTTAAAACTTATTTATTACTCTTTTTTCATTTAGGGCAATCTTTTTTTATATAGGGACCGACTTGGTAATGCCGGTCCCTATATACCCTATATACTATACACCCTAAGGATTCCAAAATGTTTCAGAATTTCAACTAACGTTAGTTCTACCGGCTGTAGTCTTCGCATCATAAATCCGACGACTACAGCTGTCGGTTTCTGGCGCTGTGCTTTGGAGACTACCGACAACAGAGCATTTTACGGTTTCCTTCAAGTGTACAATGATTCAGGGTTCATACCAGACTATTCCAGACCCACTTCTGTCATCACAGGTAAAAATGTAAACGTACTCAGCTTTCATTCATCATCATCATCAGCCTATTAATGACACCACTGCTGGGGCACAGGCCTCCCTATGCATGGAATAAGGAGATTGGGCCGTGACCCACCCTGCGGGCCCTGTGCGGATTGGTGGGTGCTGACGACTGCAGATGCAGCCGGGACCAACGGCTTAACTTGCCTTCCGAAGCACGGAGGAACTTGAGATAGCAGATTTTTGGTCACCCATCCAATGACCGACCACTGCTTAACTTTAACTTCAACGATCACAGCCGAACGCGCTAACCACCTACGCCATCGAGCTCCTCATTCGGCTTTATAGAAATGAAATACTGTTCCACCGCTGCGAGTACCTACTATAAACACGCCTGCAACTCTGCCGGATATTATATCCAATCATCATCAACGATGTTCAAATATTCCCATTGCAGGATAGCCTTCTATGGATAGAATCACGTTAAAGCTCAATTTATACCGCCGCGGAATGGAATGGAATGGAACGGAAGTATCACGTTGCGTGAGAAGGCGCGCGAATTCTCGGGAATGCTTGAGAATTCTCGCGACTGCGCCGTGTTTGAAGGACTTTAATTGAGCTGTTAAATCTAGATCCTGTTTCTTAAAGGCTTGAGACCGCACTGCCACGGCGATCATTTATTCGATCGAATAGACGACTCCCCCCTTCACGTCACTTCCCGTGCATTCCACAGACGCCACTGCCAGTCGCTAGAGGAATTCACTAAAATGCGCGAGGAAGACGTATAAAATTTAATGAAAATACTTATAAAATTTAACGAAAATACATTGTGTCCATCTAATCAGAAGTTCATTTTATAACTTTGCGATAGAACTCTGTGGATTTGGATTCGATACACTGTGTGAAAGAAAAGCATTTTGTACTGCCTCTTGAGTAGAAAATTCTTTGGGTAGTCACGTAGAAAATTCTTCAAATCACGAAAAAATTGGTACTCCCTTGGAGCACAGAATACATAATAGTACAGATGTTGGAGGATGATGCCACATTTCTGACAGATCTTAATTTATGTTTTTATTTTTTTAAGCATTTAACTGCTAGATGTCTTAAATCTAAAGAAAAGTTTTACTAGAAAAAAAATCCACTCGGACCTGTCCAGTCCCGTCCGCGTGGTTTTTTTTTCTAATAAAACTTTTCTTTAGTACATATCTTTTTTGTTTATGTCATTACTTATGTGAAATTAATGTATATTTCAGCTCCCACTTTGATCCCCAAAGTGGATACCATTATGGTAGATGAAGGTGATGCTGTGACCTTATCCTGCTCAATCCAGACGCAAATAGAGTACTGTTACTTCAGTTATGACAATGGAACTGTCTTCAACGTACATCCTGGTAATTACATAATATCAATAAAATAAATAAGTATTTCCAACACTCACACCAATTAGACAAGCCCCAAAGTAAGCACTGTAAGGCTTGTGTTATGGGATACTAGGGTAATGGATAGAATACATATATTGTATATGTATAAGTATATTTATATAGAAATACATATTAAACATCCATGACTGCAGTACAAATGCTCGTACTCATCACGCAAACCTCTGCCCCCGCCGGGATTCGAACCCGGGACCTCTCGAGTCGGTGACACCATGAAACCCGGCGTATAAACCACTCGGCTACGGAGGTCATCAAATAATAAATATATAATAATACTTTTAGTCAAATTTACATTTTTAATACTCTTAACGTGGCGCGATTAAATAAACCGAGGGTCTTAAACTGTTTAACGAAGTTTCTTTTTTTACGACCTTGATGCGAGCGGTTACTTAAACGTACACCGGGTTTTAAAGTGTCGCCTACTCCGAGATCCTGCAAATATTTTTATATAATGAAATGATTACAAGCATTCGTACCTAAGTCAGGGCTTTTTATCTTCAATTTATAGAAATACATTGTTAATTTCTCTTCTTTACACTATTATCCTATAACACAAGCCTTCCAATGTTTACATTGAGGCTAGGCTAATTGCTGAATACGTTCAAGATAAACATTTTTGTCTTTCTTACGTAGGCTTGAGCACCGACAGCATGGAGTACGTGGGTGCAGGGTTCCAGGCCGGCGAGTGCGGCGTGAGGATGACGCTTCTCCCTTCTGACAGCGGTCTTTGGAGCTGCCACGTAGGATTGTTAAAAGCTGACTCTAATAATTTAGCGCCAGAACAACGCGCGCAATTCGGCGTCGATGTACAACGTAAGCAGTGTAAATTACCGCAGTAATAGTTGGCACTTCACATGGCTATACTAATTTGCTAAGTATTTGTAAATTTGACAGCAGCCTCTCCTTTTCGTTCTTTAAATTAGAACATACAAAAATTAAATGCCCTCATTTATTGTTCTATGTAATAATGACATCTCATAAACATTGATAGTTAACTGGACAGTTTAAATTTTCACGGTCTAAATTTATACCCCAATTAACTATAATAAATGACTAATAATTTATTAATGTTCATCAATTGCGTTTATAATTGTTTTTTTTTCTGTTTACAGCAATTTTCACAGTTACCCAATCGGAAGAGTTTAATAACGTTGTGAGTTTGCGAGGTCGGGTTATCCTAGGGCGCGCTATAGATTATTGCCGATACGTACGCAGCGATGGCGAGGGTAAAGTTATATAACATATATTTAACATGTATTTCTATTATTTAGGTAAGTGTACGCTTAGTCGAAAATTGGCGCGATTAGCTCGGTCGCTGAGCCTCCCAAATTAATTTTGACAGCTCCGAATCCTTAACAGTATCGTCATCTTCAAATGTTGTATGGAAAGAACCAGTTTGTTGTTACGTCCGTACCATTGCTCCTAAGCAATGCTTTTTTTAGTTTTTATAGAAACTTTAACGATGCCATACAATTACGGAACTGACAAAGTTCATAAATGGGCCTGAGATGCGAATTCCTGCGCGTCATTATCGAAGTTAAATTGGAGCAGTAGCTGAACAGTAATCTGCAAATTTGTGAAAGAATAGAAAGGAAAGAGTAATTTGCAAATTTGAGAGAGAATAGAAGGAAATAGGTCATTTTTTTAAAAAGGACTAATAATCTGCAGCAGCAGCATTAACCAGTCTTAAAAGGTTCTATTCCTGGACAGTTCAATGTAATTGATTGCGGTAATTTTTTTGTTTCTGGTATTACCTTTTTCACGGGTTCGGGATACACCCGACGTAAGGGACTCCAAAATCAGGTGAACAAGGGATAGAAAATTATAAAATAGAATCTGAAGAGAGACACTGAAGAGTAATGTCGCTGCATCATTATTATAATAGGCCTATTAATGTCCCCTTTTCTGGGACTTCATTTGAATGAAAACGGATGAACTGGTCATGACTTACCACGCGAGCCCAGTGCGGATACGTTGCACTCGAAAGCACCCACCAGGGAGCTAACGACTGCATTAGGTGCAACCTGGACCGCCTAGTGCCTTCTGAAGCACAGAAGAGTTTGGGATACTAAAATTTTAATCTCTCATCCCAGACCGATCAATATAAAAAAATTCACTTAGTATAAGGGAATTACCATAATTCATTATGCTTCGTTTTCAGGATTCAATGAACATAATCTACCACCCAATTATCGTAGCTGGAGCTACTTGTATAAAGGCAACTGTAACTTGCAAATCGAGAATGCCTCGATGCTGGACCGCCAGCCGTGGACTATCGTCACGAGGATTAGGAGCCATCGGGAAGAGATCTCGGGAATCACCAAACCGGATGTTATTCTTCCACCACCACCACCACCGCCGCCACAACCTTCTCGTAAGAAAAAAATATTATTATACCTACATAAAGGCAGCAATAAATGCCTGCTATAATAAAGCACATAACCCCATCCCACACCTGTACGTTGATTTAGAAACATTCAATCTCCTTTTCGATTTCGATATTTTGAATTTGTCACATCACAATTGACAAAGATCGCTATGACGGTTAAGATCACAGAAAGAGGTTAGAAGGGCCTTGTGGGCGGGGAAGGTGCGCCACAGTTATGTGTGAGCAAATGCTCATAACTTGACCAAAACTTGGTTCTGATTGCATCATTGCTCTAGGGTGTGACCTCTGATTGGTTCGATTGTTTGATGTCGCGTCGTTTGATTGGCTATTATCTATTAGGTGGAAGTGTAGTGAAGGCAAGCCGATGACATCGGTTCCCGTACAAACAGTATATCATCACCTTTCTTACCTCTTAGGGGCCGTCTAGCCTAACCTAACCTAAGGGGGGGGGGGGGGGGCTTGGTGAGGTACAGGTGATACATGGTGAGGTTAAAGACGACTAAAACAACAAAAATAAAACGACGTGTTGCACTCCGGGAGTGCCGACAGAAGTGAAAACTTCAATATTAATGTGCATGTGTTGTGCATTTTTGATATTTTGAAATGGTTAGGGAATAATTTTGTACGAATTGCTTTAATTATCAGTATAGGGCGCTTTGCAGACGACGGGGCGGGGCGGGCCGGTCAATTTCGCCGCGAATAATAGCACAAAGTGAATCCTATACTTCAAACGCACACAGCGGTGCGGTCAGCTCAGTCCGCGCCACGCGCTTATCTATTCACTAGAACGAACGTCCTCAACTGACCGCCTCTGCCCGTCGTGTGCTTTGTGTACGCGGCGCGGGCAGCCGCAGACATCGACGGGCAGACGCGGTCTTTATTGCTTCGCGGTCAAAATGCCCGCCCCGCCCCGTCGTCAGCTCAACGCCTAAAAGTACTATCATTTATGTGCTAGAATACAATATTTATTTATTGCGATATCGTACCCAAACATGACAATTTAAATTACATTAAAAAGTTTATCTCTCAGAAAAATCAACTTACATGAATCACATTTAAGCGCACCTAACGACATCTATTGTAAAGAATGGGCCGGCTAGACCGGAGGAATACCACGACCTCAAAGAACACGGCGTGAAGCAGTACTTTGTATACAGTACTTTGTGTACCCCCCCCCCCCCCCTTTCCACGTGATGGCACAGTTAAATAGGATAATACCCCAGGGGGGTACCAGCTGTTTTCACGCTGGAGAATCCCCCTCTGGACGTCCATGCCCAGAACTGTCTTCTTCTGGACGTGGACGTCGAGGCTGCCCTTCGTATTCTGGGGAGGGCGAAACAGCGCTCATTACTGAAACTGCTCGAGGCCAGAGCAAGCGTCATACGTCACCCCCTGCCATGTTTAACGTGGATTTCTGCAACATCAGGGGCTTACACTCCAACCTTAATGCTGTTCACTACCACCTTCAGACAGTGCAGCCGGCCTTGCTTTTTTTGACTGAGACGCAGATCCCAGCGGACACCTCCTACCTCCAGTACCCTGGGTATACTTTGGAACATTCCTTTGTACCACGGGCTGGGGTATGTGTGTACGTTAAAGAGGGTACCAGTTTCCGTCGCCTCAGCAACTTTGAAGGTAGGGACCTCGACATCTTATGGTTGCGTGTAGACGTCGATGACCATCCCCGCGCCTACGCCTGCCTCTACAGGTCCCATAGCGGAAATGCCAAAACTGACCGACTCTATGATCACGTCCAGGTGGCTACAGACTCCGTGCTTCAGCAGATCCCATCATCTGAAATTGTGATCCTTGGCGATTTCAATGCCCACCACTCTGAATGGCTTGGATCGCCCACTACCGATCATGCAGGCAGATCTGCTCACGACTTCGCCTTGGCCTATGGTCTGACACAACTGGTCACCTCGCCTACGCGAATCCCAGATGTCGAAGACCATACACCTTCACTGTTGGACCTTCTGCTGACTTCACATCCGGATAGTTACAAAGTGTCCATAGATGCTCCTCCTGGCTCCTCGGACCATTGTCTAATCCGGAGTATGGTACCACTCACTTACTCACCGCGGCCGCAATTTGCTGGCTGTCGTCGTGTGTGGCACTATAAGTCAGCAGACTGGGATGGGATGCGCACTTTCTTTTCATCCTACCCTTGGGGCCAGGTTTGCTTCTCGCAGAATGATCCCAACGTCGCTGCCGATTCTGTCGCCGATGTTGTCCTTCAGGGTATGGAACTTTTTGTTCCTTCCTCTGTGGTTCCCATTGGTGGCAAATCCCAGCCTTGGTTTGGTCACTACTGTAAACTGGCATCTCGCCAAAAACAGATGTGTTATCAGGCCTGGGCAAACGCAGCGGGCGGCGGTCGGGGATAACAACACTAGCGATCTCAAAAAGAAGTATAACTTGGCCTCCAGGTCCTGCAAAAGAGTAATTGCCAGAGCGAAGTCAGAGCACATTAGCAGCGTTGGCGAGAGATTAATAAAACTTCCCTCTGGAACACGCGCGTTTTGGTCTCTTGCCAAGGCTGTTGAAGGAAATTTTTGTAAGCCATCCCTTCCACCCCTGCACAATGGCGACGAATCGATGGCCCATACTGCAAAAGAGAAAGCGGACCTTTTATGCTCACTCTTTGCGTCTAACTCGACTTTAAATGACAGGGGATACATACCGCCGACCATCCCGCGGTGTGAGAGCACTATGCCGGAGATCCGGTTCACACAAAGCTTAGTGCGTAAAGCACTCTTTTCCCTTGTCATCCACAAGTCGAGCGGGCCTGATGGAATCTCACCAATTGTGCTGAAGACGTGTGCTCCTGAGTTGGCTCCGGTATTAACGCGTCTTTTCCGGCTCCCCTACTCTTTAGGTGTCGTTCCGAACTCATGGAAGACAGCTTTAGTGCACCCGATCCCTAAAAAAGGCGACCGCTCACTCCCTACTAATTACAGGGCCTATAGCCATCACCTCCTTGTTCTCCAAGATAATAGAGTCTATTATAAATTGCCAGCTCCTGCGGTACCTAGAGGACCACCAGCTGATTAGTGACCACCAGTACGGTTTCCGTCAGAGTCGCTCGGCTGGTGATCTACTAGTAACGTGATCTACTTGACTCATCGTTGGGCAAAGGCGATCGAGACCAAGGGGGAAGCATTGGCGGTCGGTCTGGATATCGCGAAGGCCTTCGATCGGGTTTGGCACAAAGCGCATCTTTCGAAGCTTCCTTCTTATGGGCTCCCTGAAATGCTGTGCGGTTGGATCACTAGCTTTCTTGCGGACAGGAGCATCAAGGTCGCAGTCGACGGTGCATGTTCGGACTCCAAATCCGTAAACGCTGGTGTTCCACAAGGCTGTGTGCTATCGCCTACGCTGTTTCTTCTTCATATCAATGATATGCTTCAAATTGATGGCATTCATTGTTATGCAGATGACAGCACGGGTGATGCCCTATATACCGACCGCGCCAACATTTCACGGGAAAACGTCATCGATGACGTTGCCGGAACAAACTTGTGTCTGAAGTCGAAACTTTGTTAAACCGAGTAACGAATTGGGGCCGACTTAATCTTGTCCAATTTAACCCTACGATGACACAAGTATGCGCGTTCACCGCAATAGTTATTTATTATACAAGAGTGGAAAGTTCCTTTTTAACCGCGTGCTCGATTTGGATGACCGAGCAAGCGAAGGATTCTAAAGTTGAATCACGAGCGCAGCGAGTGATTCTAAATTAGAATCCTGAGCGTCAGCGAGGGAAACAAACGAGCACAAGGTGAAAAATCTTTCCACTCGAGTGCAATACGTAACTTTTCATCCCACCTCAGCGAGGAAATGACAAAATGAAAAAGAAAACAATTTATAATGACAAAATATTTAAGCAATAAAACGTGAAAAACTAGAATGGCGCGAAGCACGCAAATAAAACAAAGAAACCAAGAAGGTTCCAAATTTAAATTTTTTCACAATTTAAAAAGTTCTAATCATAAATTTGGCACCATAGAGGTTACATTAAATAGGTTTAATGACGTTTTGAATTTACAATTATATTGAGTACTCATTATATGTGATGTTCTAAATTCAAATCTACTTTGCCGCTCAAGCGAATAAAATAGAATTTTCCAGCCAGATTTCGAAGCGCAAAATTACACTTTCCGAGGTGGTGGGATGAAAAAAAAATACCATTTGTCGTATCTCCACTTTTTGAGAACACTCCTCTAACTGCCTCAGCTAGTTTTGGAATTCTTGGCGTTGACATATCGAGCGACGTCCAGTTTCTGGATCATTAAGAGGGCAAGGCCAAATTGGCCTCTAAGAAGCTTGGTGTGCTCAATAAATCGAGAATGTACTTCACACCGGCCCACCGACTGCAGCTTTATAAGGCACAGGTTCGGCCTCACATGGAGTACTGCTCTTATCTTTGGGCGGGGTCACCCCAGTACCAGCTTCTCCCTTTGGTTCGCATCCAGCGCCGAGGGGCTCGAATCGTCGACGACCAGGACCTTTCCGATCAGCTTGATCCTTTGGCTTTGCGTAGGGATGTAGCTTCGCTCTGCATCTTCTATCGCATTTATCACGGGGAGTGTTCTGAGGAATTGTTCGGATTAATTCCAGCTGCTGTATTTCGCCATCGTACATCGCGACAAAAATTTCATCCCCATCATCTTGATGCGTGGCTATCCACAACCGTGCGTTTTTGTCGAAATTTTTTACCACGTACGACAAAACTGTGGAATATATTGTCGCCAGCAGTGTTTCCGGACCGATACGACCCAAAAACCTTCAAAAAAAGAGCGTACTCCTTCCTTAAAGGCCGGCATCGCATTTGTGATACTCCTGGTGTTGCAAGTGTCCATGGGCGACGGTGATCACTTACCATCAGGTGAGCCGTCTGCTCGTATGCCCCATATAATATAAAAAAAGTCAACAACCTTTCCAATTATATTGTTTTCGTCTTAGGAATTTTCGATTAGGTCACGTGTCCTGACGCTTTATTTCATACAGTGTCGTTAAATTGAAAGCTGACATCAAAATTATACACATTTATTGAGGTCAACTTCCATAACATAATGTAAAATAGGAAACAATAAATATACAAAAGCCACGAAATATCCAGTAAACAATTTCCAAAATAAATGAGCGAGTATATAAAAGACACAATGTCCAAGGTTCACTTCAATACTCCTTTTGAGAATACAAGTTTAATATTACTTAGAAAATTTGCTAAAGCTAATAATAACGGCCAGGCGGTTTTATTGCTCGTGAGGTTGTTTTTGTGTGTATATTATAATATTAATAACTACTAAACAGCTAACCATTTCAAGGTCAGTCTAAGTATATACGGATGTATGGAATTTATTTGAGCAGGATGGTTGACAGGCCTGAAACAAAATACAAACCAAAATATATTTGTTTCTAAGTTTTCACGCACACCACTCATTAAATGAAACAATATAGTATAAATGCGCTTTTAATACTTATTCACTGTATTTTTGACACTTCGCATCCTTTTCAGAATGTATGGAAAATGTAGCATGGTATTTCGGGTGCAGGTCCAGTCCGCTAAATAGCTGTGGTATCACTACATACAATTTTTGAAACTTATTTACATTATGGTAATTGCATGTGTAAATTTCATAATTTTGTAAAAACTATAATATATTAAAATTATATCTAGTGAATAAACGGTTTTTTGAGACCCAGAAGTCTATACTATGGTACCTTTACTAGATGCTAAGTTTTATAGTTTTTACAAAATTTTTAAATATACACATGCAACAACCGAAATATAAAAAGAATACTTTAGGAACTTACCATTTTAAGAATATTATGTGTATCCATTAGTACAGGTCTTGTGCTTTAGTTACTTAATTTGGCTATAGTAGACTAAAAGTCAAAAGTAAGTTCTTATCATAATTTTCATTCGGAATATCTTAGAGTAACAAATTTGTAATCGCTTTTCTATTAGATTTTAGCTAAGGAAAGTTAAAGTTTAGTTAGTTATGTAAGTTTATTGTTTTTCATAAATTGAATTAATTCGTAGGGTTAATGCACTGTTGCGAGTTATTAGTACCGTTCGAGGCAAACCAAAAAAAAGGGCAATAAAATATCGATAAGACCAAGATCGATGAGGGGGTACAACACTAGCGCTGCTAGATTACTAATGTAAACTACATGAAAATCCGTTGAAAGACACCAGGCTTTGGTTCCTGTAGCATTTGGTTTCTTAAGCAGTATTTTTAATATAGTTTCATGGTCAACATCTTGAAATAATAGCAATTTCTAGTTAAATTGGTTACTTACCGGTGAAAATTTAGGTTAGTTCTAGTTTTGTTTTGACACAGGCTAATTAATTACAGAACACTTCACATTTATGTTTAAATCCTAAATTTATTTTCTCGGTTTTAAATTCCTCCAATAAGAATCACGTCGGCAACTTTGAGTTTATTTATAAACAAACTAGGGAATCACAGACTACTTATGGGGAGCTAAAATGGCAACACGAGCAATCGTTTATTAGATATTACATTGTCACTACTGTAGAGCATATTGCGAAATAGTGTGCTGGTGTCTTTTTCATATGCATCGCACGCGATTTAAGGCTATTTTTTTTATTTAGTAACATTATCAAAGTATACGGAACCCTAACTTTTTTGAAAAAAAAATAAAGTCTATATTAATCAGTGATCATTTTTTAAAATAGTCCTGTACTTTTTGAACCAATTCGTTACAAACATACTGATATACAAATCTTTCCTCTTTATATTAGTATAGATTGACATGAATCAGTAATATATTGATAACAGAGTCACTCCGTCAAAATGCCATTATTTAATCTTTATTTAATAATAAAAACAGTTTTGTTTTTTGCAAATTCTAATTGCGCCCGTAGTGGTAAATTTTATCTAGTAACTACTAAATAATAATCAAAATCTTTTAACGGTTGAAACAGTTTCGACAATTGATAAAGATTGGACGTGTTTTTCAGATGGCCGCTCATCCTCCTACTTTTGGCTTTTCATCACGATGATGAGTATAACCTTGGTGTTCATTGGCCTGATGGTGTCTACTGAGAAGAATCGTCGCTGGGCTTCGCAGAAGGCGATCTTCCTGAGGGACAGCTTCCGTTTCAAGAAGAAGCCAGTCGCTACTGCTGGCACTGTTCCAGCCACTAATACTGACAATAATCAAGTCCAGACTGCTTAGGGGCTGGCTTATATAAATATCTTTAATTACGCTGTACTATACTTAACCATTTGTAATAATAATATTTATAATAAAATTGTATTCATTATTCAAATCGAATGTTTTAATTCTGAACCCATAGTTCCTACACCCCGTCCTACTTAATATCATTTAAGTGAAAGTTTGTATGTTTGTTACTCAATCACACAAGAACTACTGAACGGATTTAGTTAAAATTTGATATGCATATAGTTTATAACCTAGATTGAGACACAGTGGCGGACTAAACTAAGCCCGTCAGAGGCCCGGGGCGGCAAAGATGAATGAGGCCCGCCAGCTTTAAAGAAATGTAGTTTTTTATGTTTATTTTTTAAAATCGGCAAAGTAAAATTTAAATTCGAATCAAACTATTTCAGCTATCAACATACATACCTACAATATGGTAATGGATATGGGTGAGAAAAATAAAATACGATATCGATCGACAAAAAAATTAGATAAAATAAATCAAAGATAGTTTTTTTATTTTTTGTATGGTGTTACATATGTTTTCGTGCCTTCAATTTACTGAACTCCTCAATAACTACTTTGAAATCTATTTCTTTGGATTTTTTTTCTATTGAAAACACGGCTAGGTAAACCAGTCGCTCTTGACCCATTGTAGATCGAATATAATTTTTAATTAGTTTAAGTTTCGATGTACAAATATATTGAGACTTTGCCGTGTTGAGTCTCATGATGAGAACAAGTACATACCTACGTCCCTAATAAACGTGCACTACAAATACAATAAGGACCACTCGCGAAATGCAAGAACTGAAGCAATGTGCATATTGTAGGCTAAATTATACGAAGAATTATTTTCCTTTTTTCAAATACTTGAAAATGCACTAACTCAACTCTGAACTCATTTACTTTTATACCGCAACAAAAATCAAAAACACTATAACACTTTTTAATGAAATTACTTTAAACGGATAAGATCGCGTTTCATCAACAGCCTATCCTAGTCCACTGCTGGACATAGGCCTCTCCAATTGCACGCCACTCAGATCGATTTTCGGCTACTCGCATCCAGCTCCTGCCAGCCACTTTGCGCAAATCGTCACTCCTTCGTGCCGGAGGACGTCCTACACTACGTTTGCCTAAACGCGGTCTGCACTCCAGAACTCGTCTACCCCAACAGTTATCGGTTCTTCGGCAAATATTGCCAGCCCACTGCCACTTCAACTTGCTAATCCGGTGGGGCTATGTCGATAACTCTGGTTGTCTGTCGGATTACCTCATTTCTGATGCGATCCTTCAGAGAAATGCCGAGCATAGCCCTTTCCATAGCGCGCTGAGCGACTTTGAACTTGTAGACCAGCCGTACCGTCAGTGTCCACGTCCCGTCTCCGTATGTCATCACTGGTAGGATGCACTGATGAAAGTCTTTACTTTCGTCTTTAGGCACTGTGGGATCGACGATGTTAAGATTTGACGTAGCTTTCCAAACGCTGCCCAACCTAGCTGAATTCTTCTATTCACCTCGTCCTCAAAGTTGTTTCTACCTAATTGCAATGACTGCCCGAGGTATAGATATTTTTGAGCAACTTCGAGAACGGCACCGTGTATTGCAATCGGTTCCGGTAGAACATGTTCATTGAACATGACCTTGGTTTTATCCAAGTTCAGCCGTAGGCCGATGCGTATAGAAGAGTCAGCCATGAATGACCTGGCATTTTTTGTAGGTCCTGCAGGGTTTCTGCCTTGATGACGATGTCGTCTGCAAATCGCAAGTGAGAGATGCGTTCGCCATTTATGTTGATGCCACGTCCTTTCCAGTTCAGCGTCTTGAACATATCCTCCATTGCATTAGTGAACAATTTCGGGGAAATAACGTCCCCGTTTTTATTACTTTACAATTTAAAAAAAGGCTTATTCGTTCATGAAAATACCCGTTACTAATTAACTATTAAATATCAACGTAATGATATTTAATACATATATTTTAAATGAGGCCAATGTTTATTTTACGACGTAGTGTGTATAATGTAGTGAATGTAAGTGTAGGCCGACAAGAGTGAATTATTTGCACTTCATTCATTCAAGGATTCCTAAAGAAGTACCCGCTACAAAGACAGGAATTCCCCCAACGTATTAGACGCGTTGAGCAAAGTTAAAAAAATATTAGTACCGCGTAAAATTTCTAGATAGCAGTAGTGTTTTGGTCTTGATGAAATTATGTAGGTACGAAACACATTTTTAAAGTCTTGTTTAGGATTTGATCAGGGGAACGCGGAGGCATTTGGGGCCCCCAAGACTGGTGGCCCGGGGCGGTCACCCCTTCCCCTCCCCCTGTTAGTCCGCCACTGTTGAGACAGGATACTTTAAAAAAAATTTTGTTCCTGTAGAATTATAAAAAAAACTAAAGTAAAGCGGACGAAGTTGCGGACGACCCCTAGTAGCATAATAAGTTACAAGTATTTATGAGACCTTGGTGAGAATTATTAAAAATATTAAATAAATTTGTTACAATTAATACATAATTTATGGCGTTCCGTAAAATCTGTAAATCTAACAATTTATTTAATTTATCGTGTGAAAACTTGGAATACACGATGTATATTCCAAGTTTTCACATGATATTTAGGTGCTTTTAGTAAATTTACTAAAAGCTCTAAAACAATTGTTTTTCTTGTCTTCTTCTTCATTGGTATGCCTTGGTTCGAATACAACATGATTTTTTTTTTTCATAATTTTTTTATTCGATTATTTACAATATGTCTTTTTAATAATGTTATTTTTAATCAAATTTCAACATGTTTAATAATATACTGTCCGTGTTCGAGGCTGCTATTTGATACAGCCAGGGGCACGGGCAGAAGTCTGAAAGAGGAAGCATAGAAGGATAGTAAAGATAAAAGTAGGTATACAAGAAAATAGGGAGGTGAAAAACAAAGTAAAGAAAAGTTGAATCACATTAGTGGCGTTAAATACTACTCGTTTGCTTCGAGTTGGCCGTCGATAGCCAATCACAGGCACATCAACTGGTACCATCGTCCAATAAGGTCGACTAATAGGGACTGTCTAAGGCGCCGTATTCTGAAGCTGGGAGGGTGGAAGCAGCCAATTCGAAGCGAACGCGTAGTGCTTTGGTTATTAAAAGTATGCGTTATTAAGGGTTCACTCAACACATTCACGCAAACTCATACACACACACACGCAATCATACTCAAATGAGTCCTAAGGTAATTATTATATACACTTTTAAACTATTATATAATATAACGTAATTATAACATTCACAGAAATAAAAAACTTTAAGAGCGTGCGCTGCGTTAAGCGGGACACAGAGCGGGCACCCGCTCGGCGCGCTTGCTTCATGCCATTTCATAGAGCAGCACCACGTGAGATGGGTCTCCGAGAAATGACGCAAAAAAAAAACTGCACGGCGAGCGGACTCGCGCCCGACGTCCCGCCCAAGGCAGCACAGGCTTTAACAGTGCAATATTGTAATGTACATTATATTGTGATGCTAAATGCATAATTAAACTATCTTAGTGGGTAAAAGGCAAGACACACCAAAGGACGGTGGGGAACAAAAAAAAGGCCCCGATTTAAGTACATATCTGTGTTGGATAAACCGAGAAGAAATCTAGAAGCCTCAACAGGTATATCGTGCCGTAAACGAAGATTACTGGTTAAAGCTTAAAAAAAAACTTACAATATACCAACTCAGTGGGAGGAAGAGGGTAAAGAAGAGTTATTGAAAGATTTCAGTTTTGAGAAGATAGTTTCAACGAGTGCGACAAAAGATTTGAGCAGTTTTGGTTTAGCTATAAGATCAGGAATATGAAACGGGTTAATGCTGCTGTTTGAGCATATGGCAGTATATCTAAGTCTATTAATAGTAAATCTTGGACAATCAGTCAAAAGATGAAGAGGATCTTGAGGCGTCTGAGTGTCACATGGACATGCGCTAGATGCAGCAATGTGAAAGCGGTATAAATAAGAAAGGTGGGCACCATGTCCTGTTAAAAATTGACTAAGAAAGAATGAAGAGGAAGAGATGATTAAGAAAAAATTGTGAATCATTGTTATAGAGGGGAATAAATCTCGAGTGTGGGAGCCTTGAGCAGCTTCTTGGTATCGTTTCTCCCACTCTTTGCGAATGCGAATCCTAGAAAGGCGCTTTACATATGATAATGGGAATCGGTCGTAATCAGGAGCCCTTCTCAAACCTGCAGCGCGACCGGCCTCAGCATCCGCAGCCTCGTTACCTGCAATCCCTACATGCCCCCTAACCCAACAAAAACGAATATTTCCAAAAGAGTGGTGTTCGTGAATAAGTTTCTCGGGTCTATGCAAATATAAGCAGCCCCAACGGATTCATTCTTCAGTTTACTACCGTCGGTGAAAATTTAAAACTTGCAAGCCTTATTTAACTTAAATATAATTAACACTTGTTATTTTTATGGGTATTTTTTACTTCTGATGACGAAAACTTAAAAAAATATTTTGATCAACTTTACTTAAAATAGCTGTTAATATCAATTAATTAGTTCATTATCTACTATAAAAAAATATGCACCGAGCTTACAGCTCTTTAGTTGTACTAGAAAAACCCCATAAAATTATGATCGTCCACGGTAGTGACACTGAATCCAGGGAAGTGACTTTCCATACTGTTTTTAACCATAGAAATGACTTCACCGCGTCATGGACGTGACACTGTATGCATTTGATATAAAGAGGTCATAAATTATTTTATCCAAGGAAATTATGATGTCTATTGGATTTATTGAAGAAAACAAATGTTTGGAAAACAAGCTTTTAATTGCTTAGAATTTTTAATTTTAACCTCAATCACATCTTTTATCTTAGGATTATGGTATTAACAATATTTTGTAATAAAATAATTAACTAACCATTACTTTTTAGATGTAACTGCTAAAGATATCAAAAATATTGTACTTATGACACCTTCTCATTGCAGTCTCAATTATATCTTAATATATATTTAAAAAATGTTTCAATTATTTTATGACTTTAAAAATATTTCTTAATAAAAATATTTTGAGATCGTCAACGCTCTCACTGTCATAGATCCTCATCCTTCTCTTCCCAGCCTTAGTATCCCGTCC